GTACACAAGGGCTTTGTCCATGGACCACTCCGCTGCATGACGCTGTATAGACACATTTGCTCGCGTGAACAGACATTACGCACAAGTTGCACCATCCCATCACCTCTGCGCGGCCCTCAGTGCGCGGCGCATCCAAAGTTGGCGTGATCGGCGCCTTACGAAAATCGAACACGCTCACTTGAAACGGTACACAGGAAACGGGTTTTTCGCGCAGCTGGGAGTGTTCCTCAAGAAATCCCCATAGCGAGATCTCATGAATCCCGAGAGCTTCAGAAACAGTTCAAGAGAGTTTTTAGAAAGAGAAAATCTTCAAACACTCGAAACCATTCTCAGATTTGTGAAATGTTGAGTTACAAAAAAAATATATTGATTCAAACCTGTTCGGTTGAAACCACTCCCCAACGAATCCCTATGGCAGATTTCTCTGTGATTTTTGCGACGTTCATAAACGTTTTAGTACTTTTAGGAAGTGCAAACCTTCCTCTACACGAGTACGGTCTCCTCTTCCCCACAGGTCCGCTTTTGAGGAAGTTATGGTCCTTCAAAGACACCTAACTCAGCTGGAAATTCTCGCTCCATGGCTAAAATTGCCGAATAATCTCCTGTCACAGCCGCAATTACATGCGCTTCTGCTACCGTACTCCAATAATCGGGGTAATGCATTTTTACGGCGGTTTGTATAACTGTTACGTAGTGAGACAAGCCTAACTTTCTCTTTTCCTCGTCCTCAATCTTGGGAATAGACGTTGTTAACACTGTGGTCGCTGATGGCCGCTCCCAGAGAGGGAGTTCACGTCAGGTTAACGAATGCTCATTGAATTTAATCGCGATATCGTTATTATTACCATGTGTGTTTCAAAACGGCCATCGAAGAAGTTCATCATACGAGTTTCTCATAATACGATTGTACCGTTTTTTTGTTTGCAATCATCTCTGTATTGTTCTATTATGTCATGACTTCAAGTCGTCCATTTAGTATGGGCACCTTCATACAAGTAGAATTTCATAGTGGGCGTTTCATAGTTTCATTTAAGGCGAAAAAAACCGAACGGCAAAAAAAGGGGGGGGGTCGTACCGAACCCCCCAAAAAAAGGGGGGGGGGGTCGTACAGGCTCGACCAAAATCCCCATCGAATGCTGTGCCCTGTATATGAAGCGACTGCGGTGCTGCATGGATATGTGATATGCAACTGTGTATACCGTAGCGATTATTGGCAAGATGCCAACGGAGAAGCTCATCCGAAATTGCTTCCTGATGGTGAGTCGTGTAACAAAGGCTTTTTTTTGCAGGTTTTTGATCGTTTCACTTTGGGGTTTTTCGCCATTTGTCCCACTATATAGCACCCCTGTGAGCATTTTTAAGATCAGTACCAAATTATTGCGGCTCATGCCTTGAAAAGGATGCGGGGTAGTCTATTCGTTTTTGGGCTCATCTGATCCTTAAGGAGAAAGGCAAGAGATCAAAGGAGTGTGTAAAACAGGACGAATCTGTAAGAGTCAGGTCACACTACACTTCAAACTTGTTTTTCTTCCTGCGCCGTGCACCCGACTCTCATTCGAGATCGAGAAGCTTTTAAATGTATATTGATTCATACGAGCAGAGCAAAGCGTGGGAATAGAGCAAACCGTAGAGAAATGGATCATCAGGTTAAACTCAACACAAGGAATGTCTTTGCAAGACCCCCCCCCGCCGCACATTCGCCTCCTACATAAATTTTCACACCATTCTGACGGTGAGGGAGGGAGACATCCCTGATCAACTATCAGAACTAGGGTTTAGAGCGCACCTGAAGCCGACAGCCAATGCACCCAGCGGTTATACGAACCCCCAGATGGATTCACATAACGACGATCTACGCTGCATAGAGAGGAAGCCTATCTGATACTTTCCTAACCATGTTGCTTTGCCTAGGCAGTTACCGCCGCAGTGATAACAAAGCTTCGCTTAGCATGAAGCAGAATCCGAATCCATGCTCACCTTCCCCGTCTGGCGCCTTCCTTGATTGCCTGAAAACGATTTTTTGGAACTGGTCCGAATCGTAAATTAGCCGCCCTTCGCGCGGAGCGTTGCGCAACAAAGGGTGGCAGTTCGAGGGAGATGTTTCAGACTGGTGAGGAAGCTAACATCACTAACTTGAGATCTTTCCTATTCAAGTACGCTACTACTGGAAAAGAGCTGCATTTCGACACGCAGCTTGTGCGGACAGCTGACAAACTATTCAGTTGACGCACATTCCCTCTTCCCTCGAGCGCGGCATGATCGGCCCATGATCTCGTCACGTATACGCTTTTCTCCGCTGACGATTCCTGTATGCAGTGCCCACTGCCGGTTGGACTCGGTCGCCCTCAGTGGCGGTGCATCTGGAAGAGGGGCGATTCTATCGTAAGACACGCTCACGGTGCAAGGTCACTGGAGGCAAGGGATTATGCGTAAAAGACGATTCACCGGCGATCAAGTGTAATCAGGTACAATGTGCTTATGAAGCGCAGTATCCCTTCAAAACTCTGTAAGGTAGGAAAAGAAGCGAAAAAAAATCTGGAACTTCCCTGAGCACAGACCCTTCCCCCCTCACCTAGCAGTGGGGCGTCTTAGAAGGGTTCATCATACGGACAAGCCCAATCAGCAAGGGTGGCAACAAACGTCCTCGGCAAGAGCAATAGGAACCGCCCTAACGACGCTGCAGGCACGCTATTTTACACAGCGCAAGTCCGCTTGTAAGCAGAATTGCGTGTGTAAATAGCGTTGTCTTGCACAGTTACAGTACGCTGTTGCACCGGTTGCAAAACTCACGCGTCTCTAGCTCCGTTATCTGCTTCCGCTTGCTGACGAAGTGGCGATAGTTCTCTGCGATATGCTGGACAAGCGATGCGCCTGAAATGCCGCGGAGGAAATTTCGCTAATATACTTGATCGCGGAAGTGTCCCCACAGGCGTCTGTCAGCCTTCCATTGTGGGCCGTCCGTCTGTGATCCTAGTATCTTGTCGAGGACTGTAACGATAATTTCAGCGGAGGCTCCCGACATCCTAACTCCTGGGCAATAACTGTCAAGGAAAATTGTAATTCTTATGAACCGGGGGAACAGATCAGAGGCCTCGGACCTTTCAGTGGAATGACGTCGGGGGAAAAATTTGAATTGGCGCGCGTACCGTAAAGCATCGCGTTCACGCGGGACGCTGATATGGATTCCAAGGGCCGTATGCTATACTTCCCCTCGAGGGGGGGGGAGATTTCCCCCAGTGAATCTCCGCTCTCTGCCGTCATCTCTATCAATACCCTCGCCTTTCTGCATCTGTCTCTCTGCATCCTTCCTCCCCCCATTCCCACGGAATCTCCCGCAACGACATTCGCTGGGGGAGAGGGGAGCATATCGATTATACTCTGCGCTGCACTATATTCCCACAGAGCATGCGACAAAAGAGATGGACGCAGAGCGGTGAGAGCCAGAGAAACGAGGGGCATTGGTAGAGATAATGGCACACTAAGTCGAAGATTTACAAGGGGATATCTCCGCACGAGGGGGAGTATAGCATACGGCCCCAGAGATTGTCTTGTCACATGCACCGACACACTTCACACCGCCCCAGTTTGGGTTACGTGATCAACTAAAACTTTTGGGTGGTGTCCTGCCGCCGATATGCGCAGAGCGCAGAAGCAATAAGGACTTGCTAACTGCAAGGGCAATCGCTGAGGTAACATAAAAGCACGATGCGAGCCCAGGAGATGAGTTTTTGTTTTCAAGGGGGGATATCGGGGTGGATGAGGCCACTTAGTATAGCGGGAAGTTTGAAGTGGAAGGTAAAGTGGCCATAAATCGCACCTTGCAGGCAGAAAGAGCGGCAAGAAAGAGGAACTGTTGGCGGCCAATGAAAGGATTTGAGTTTAGCTGTCGTAACACCTCCCAGTTTGGTCACGTTCAGCCCGCTGTGAGCAGGACACGGACGAGGCGGTCGTAATCTATCGCGTCGCCGCGAGCGACGTACCGTACGACGATGCGCGGCAAATGCTCAATGTGCATCAGTTCGCTGAGTGAAACAGCACATTGTATGAATTTAGGCGCAGGCATGACTCAATGACAAGCGATATCAAATCTTGCCGTCCCTTCCACCCTAAAGTTCAAGAGGGTGCGCACGACAACTCGTCCGTCGCGCGTAAGGCCGACAGCCCACACAGCGTGGCCTTATCACACTTGCCGTCAATAAGCAATTGAGGGCAGGGCTCAGTCGAGCTCAGCTGTGCATCATGGTCCCGCAAACCGTTTCCAAAATCCTTGACTTGACGTCTCCCCTCCCCAATTCTGAACGAAATGAGGCGTACCTTCCTGAGGAAAGATTTTGCCTCATCTTTATTGAGGCCAGAAACTCCGAATCCTGAAAGCTTCTGACACATCTACTTTCATATAAACTGCGATTCTTCCATTTTAGCATGGGTAACTAGATCAGAGCCCCCCGGACCCGACCATTTCCAAAATGAACGTCGGGATAAATTTTGAATTGGCGCGCGTCACCGTAGGGCGTCGCGTCCAGGCGGGACGCCGACATGGATTCTTGGCAGAATCTTCTCGTACCGCCCGCCACCCGGCGCCGCGAGTTGATGACTGAGCACGTTGTCGTTGGGTTTTGCTGTCAGTGACCGGCTTTTCCTGTTTTAGAGCGAAAATCCCTCTGATATATCAATCAGTATTATCAGGGGGCTCTTTGACTCGATTTCTGGTGAATAATGTTCATTTCTATTGTTTCAGTTTACGCGGCTCATCCGCGCACGTCCGGGTCCTTTATTTCATCTTTCACAGTTAAGTAATGGCACTCAAAAAGAATCCAGAAGGTTGGTTTCACCATTTTAACTACTGGCGCTTAGATCATATACGTTAAACCCGCGCTACAAAGCGCCCGACAAAAGTCGGTGGCTGTCCCGCGGGTTGACGTGATGGTTATTGATTTTTCGTATACTACGTTTCACTGAGGATATCGTGCGTTTAGAAACCTTTCCCAGCTCACCTGAAAATGGCCAAATCGAATGGAATTTTTTTTCAGGAATTACAAGATCTCGGACGCGATCCACCGGCACAATGCTCAGCAGGTCCCGTAGGAGATGATCTGTTTCATTGGCAAGCGACAATCATGGGTCCTCCCGAATCACCATATCAAGGAGGAGTCTTTTTCCTGACTATTCACTTCCCTACAGATTATCCATTCAAACCTCCAAAGGTAATTTTCGCAACTTCACTTTTTTTGAAATAACGATTACGTCACCGTAATGATGAGTCAGACTAAAGGACTGCTGTTGAATTGATTTTTATCCCCGTTAGTTGTTATTCTCATCGGAAATCGAAAAAAATTATCGGCTGTGATTTCCTGTGAAAGTAGGTGAAAAGGGTTAAAAGGTGAACGGGACACGTACCTATAGTGTCCTGTGGCCACGCCCCTTGGACTTTGTCAGCTGCGTGCGAGACTAATGCACTTTGCTACTAATGTGAAGTCGGCAATAGATTAAGCCTGTCCACTTCGCTTTGAATGCGCTTAGATGGGTGATGGAATTCATCTTGTGAGCGATTTTGATAGGTTCTGACAGGAAATTTCACTATGTTCATGTCCAAAATTCGGGAAAAATGCCCAGCCACTGAAGAGAAGCATTTCCTAAGTGGGTTTTCATGCTTCGCTGGCTATTTGTTTTTTCTCTGCTGCGTTATCCTTTCTTCCGTTGTAAGTTCCTTGGGCGGTACTTTCGCACCAGGCAATCATAGAAGCCTTCCACAGGATCTTATTCGAATGAAATTCTTTTTGGAACATTTTGTGGGGTTATAGGGCTTCTGTCGACCGGATTTTCTCTCGCTACGAGGATCCAGAGGTAAGTTGCCGTGGCATCTTTTGGAACATTCAAAAATCGAGGAAATAGGGAATAGGGAAAGGAAGGAGGCCACAAAAAAGACGGGATGATGAAGTTTTCTGTTTGACAGATATGGCTCAGACGGTTTAATGGTGATCTCGTTGTGCAGAACCGGAATTGCCGTTATGAGGAACTTTACGCGAAAAAAATAGGTCCCCATTCATGGAAAGAAACGAGACCCATGATCGCGTCCAGGAAAACCTTGGCTAAATACGATCGTCCTTAGATTATTTTCTCGGTATGACACTTTCTGCAGGCCTGCCTACCTTCGTGCCAGTGTTTCCCTAGAATTTTGTCGGGCTTGTCACTTTTGCTGCCTGCCGTGTAGTCGCCGTTTGGGCGACCAAGTTCTGCAAACGGAGTCCTTCAAATTCCCCTACCTCCAGAGTTCGGTGCGGTTCGGGAGACCTTTCTTATAGAAGCATTGTCTTGTTTCCGTTATTGTCGAGATAACAGCCCCGTTCGGAGGTGTCACACTTATCGGCTGTATGAAGTCTGCTTGTCCTCCTAACCTAGAGCTCCAAGCAACTAGTCTCAGTGGGGCAGTTTCTTCTGTTCCACTACAGGAAAGTGGGAGGAGGTCCGTTCCACTTTCATATAGGAAAGGAAACCCCATAAAATTAAACGTCTTCATATTGCCGACTATACGTCTTCACCGACGGGTTCGATCCAGCGCCTAACGTCATCCGCGTTCGGCTGGCTAGTGCGTTCGTTCCGGCCTCGTCAGCCGCAGTACTGCACGAAGGAAAGTGGCATAAGAGGAGAAAAGAAGCGAATGGGCAGGGTACCTTTTGCAGCCGCTCAACTTCTCATCCCGCCGCCAGGGTCGTGGTCTTACCTTGCCACAGTGAAAATTGAAGAAAAGTATGTGTATGTATTCAGTCCTTATTGTCAGTTCTGCAAATCTTCATTTTTTTCAATTTGCCAATCCTTCGCTGTCATGAGGTACGAACACAGCCTTATACGTGGTGCACTGCAAAGTAGTGATGTCTTGGGAGCCCTGTGTACAACCACAGATTCCACTATTGCCCATTGTGAGTTGCGATGGTCATCAAGGAATCTGCAGTTGCTAAATCACTTTCCAGGGAAGCAAAAAAAATGATGGAGAACACCTGTAGGCCCCTCTCAGTCCTCGTTTCGTGGTAGCAAGGCGACATCCTGCAGCCTCTGGGTCACTAGCGTTTCTTCGCATCATCCAATGCTAGTATCATTAATAGTGAAAAAGTAACGAAAAACCCGGTTAAAAACTGAACTTGTGGCAGAAATTACCTTTACATTTCGGTAAACGGGACAACTAGGGAGGCGTCAGAACTGCCTATTATTACGGCCACAGCTCCCTTCGTTTTCCTACAGTGAAGCCGGCGAAAAAGTGGGATAACGTAGAGACGGCGAGCGCCAAGACTATTTGTAGCAAAGGAAGGATGTTAACGGATTACTTGAGCGCGGACTGTCTTTGAGCGAAAATGCGTGTCGCACGTCCACATGCGTTGGCGCTCATAGCTAGCGTTTAGGCGGTTTCGTTATGAGTGGCCCGTGAGAAACATTCGCTGACATTTCGTGTTCTGTATGTCAGAGCACATCAAATTCTAAATCAAAAGTGAGTTGATTGACCAGTTCACTTTCATCTTCTACTGCAAGATTGTGTCGGAAAGACAGGACTTGAATGTCTCTAAAGGAAATGGTGATGATTTGTATGGATCGTTTAGCGGAAGTATGATTTGTTGCGTGTAGCAACGTGAGCAAGATTTTCCAGTTCTGGCGCCTCTGGCAACTATTACGGTGGCGCAAATTGAGGCTGAGCTCCTGCAACCGCTCATCAGTCATATTTTTGTGCCGGGCAACTGATTCAATTTTTTAATAAGCCTTAGCAAATTATACAAAACATAATTATGTCTGGCTAGTTGGAACTCAGTATTTATAAGGTTGTGTCCGGCTTGGAAGGGGCTTTTGCACTCTCGATAGTTTCTTTTGCAAGTACTTATTGAATTACACATCTTACCGTGGAAAGGCCTGTAGCCTCTGATAAAATGTGAATAAAGCTCCTGCTGTCGCACAGCTTCAGAGGAATTTACAGGCCTAAACGGAAGGCATTGGCAGTGATTAATGGGAACTAGCGAAATGTCCCCGCTAAGCCGAACAGCGCCAATTTTGTGGTTTTGAATTATCGCATGATTCATTTTGGAGGCGCAGTCCACGTGGCTTGGTTATCTCTGTTGGGCCTAATGGCGGGGTGCTAAGCAGTTCGGCCAGAAGTTCGAAAAATTAAACAAGTGATTCTGAAGCTCCGCTGATTAGCGCTCTAATGTCTGCTGTTTATTGAAAAGTGTGGGGAAAATTCGAGGAGAGCGCTTGGATGGGTATCCGTCCTTGATAAGATAACGTATTCTTTCATTTGACTTCCGATCAGATCTTTCTACTCGGGTACATGGCAAGACAATAGAAGTATGCCACGCCGGGGATGGCAAGCGACGTGCCTGGCAGGGGGTTGGATCGGGGAGACGAGTTGTCGCTTTCGGCTGTTTTAATTTGAAAACGTTGAAGCGGTGAAAAAAGGTAAGGTACTCTCGGGCAGAGCATTGTTCAACAGTCGCCCAAGGCTGACGAAAAGGCGGTTGGATAAAAGCAATAAATAGTCAATCGATACCGAGAATGCGGCCCAACCGCCGGCGGTTGGGCGGTTGGGCGAAAAGCAGTAGATGTGTATCGATTTCGCTGGCGAAAAACGCCACCGCGATGGAGCTAGCGTTTTGTCGAAGGCGAAAAACGTCGCGGTTTGGCGAAACGCCCGTCGATACGTACCAAAACCCTTTCGCCCAACCGCCAGGCTCTTCGCCCAACCGCCAGTCGATATGTATCGAAAGCTTTTCGCCGAACCGCCGCGTTTCAGAGAAACGCTGGACCGCAGAGTGTGAACAATGCCTAACGCGGCAAATTATGATTGTATTGTCCATCTCCCTTTTTTTTCTCAGGGTTAATAATCAGCCTCTATAACTGCACCCACTCGAGGGGAAATTACGAGCGAGGGCATTGATATATAACGCATGGTCGTTCTAGCAGCCCATATTCTACACTAGCACGCAATAGCTTTTCCAGAGCTTGGGTGCGAAACCAGTTTGTTATGTAGTGCGCTTTTAAGTTTGTACGTTATTTCACGTTTTTCAAGAATTTTTGTTAAGGTCGCGTTCACTACTAGAATCTATCATCCGAATATAAATTCCAATGGCAGTATTTGTTTGGATATCCTCAGATCGCAATGGTCTCCAGCGTTGACAATATCAAAAGGTAAGTTCATTCAAGACTATCTGGCATTATTCCATTAGTACGATTGACAGAACTAAAAATTGCTGCTTGAACTCGAAGCACAAAGCTTGTTCATTGTTCTGATCATCTATAATCCATTTTTGGCGTAGGCGCCGTTGGGCGCCGCTACCATTTCCGCTAGCAATTGTATAAACTCCCATACAGTTGGCCATTTTAATATGAATATGACGTTCATTTTTGGTGCCAGCGCTATGGTTACGTTCACACTTAGTGTCAGCGATTTCGCCAAGGTATTCGAAGCCGGGCTAACTTGCGCGCCGGGTATGCGACCCGACGAGCAGACGAAAAACCCGTTCTCTGATTGACATTTCTTTTTTCTTTCTGCTATGATATCGCGAAAAAAAGAAAGAGTTCCCTCGTATGTTGAAGGAATCTGTTGGAAGCTTTACCCTGTCAACAATAAGATGACAAACAATCCAGAACAATTGGAAAAATGTTATTTTTCAACAATGTTTCACACACAAATGGTAGTTCGATGTGAGTGTTGAAATAGGATGGTGATCACCCAACGTCTCCTAGAGCTTCTCATGCAAAACTCGGCCTGGCGAATCGAACTAGCTGATCGTCTCGATCTGGAAAGATCGTCATTCTGAAATGAGTCAGTTCAAAAAGATTTGCAGGTGGTATCGTAACCACAGCAAAGCACCATGCAGTTACATAGATTAAATTCAAAAAATCGGGGAATTGACAATTATAGGGGTCCACGATAAAAGGCACCATAAACATTCCAGAGACGTCCCCTTATGCGTTCGATCTGTAGCACTGTACGGGCTGATGAGGAAACACTGAGCGTCGGAGGAGGGACCACATAGCGAAAGAGCAAAGTGACGAGTGGGGTGAGCGAGTCAACACACTCGTCAGATGCTGTTCATTTCAGAGCGATGACGGCCTCTCATGGGCAGTCCAAGGCTAAAAATTTTGGTTCCTAGGTTCCTTGTCAGAAACTTTGGACGTGCAAGAACGACACAAGCTCCGCACCTATAAACTGACCCACTCTAATCAAATATGTGGAGTCTTCCAACTGAGAAGATCGTAAAATGCGCTGAATGGCAAAGCTCGCGATCATTCGCCATCACAGATAGTGGATTAGGGGTTTGCATGTAGACGACAAGATTCTGACGTAAGTCGATAAGAAAGAAAAAAGCAGAAAAAAACATGCCAGCAGCCCTAGATAAACCCTTCCCCCATTCCGATCCCAGTTTGTACGTGTCCAGTTAACTCCATTTTCAACGCTGCACCCTCATCCGCATAGCTGATTGCCGGATGAGAATTCTACGACCTTATAAAAGATATATTTTCATGCTTTCTCTCCCTGCAGCTTTCGATGTAAGGCGGGCCTTGAAGGCGGAGTCCGGAGGCGGAGTCACTGGAGAAAAGGAGGTGTCACTGGACCTATATTGCGCTATGGCATCTCTCACACAATTTCGCTACGGAACCGATA